AACCCTCGGCGGGAGCGCCACCGCGCTCCCAAGCGGCGCACTGTAGCAGTGCACAACCGGGCCGGCCCTGTAAGTCTAGTGTTCTTCAGAAGACTTTTTTTTCACTTTCATTACATTTATTGGATTTATCTTCAGTGGGTTTTCTCAGATTTAGTAGAAATATCACTGGACTTTCTCATACTAGTTGCATTAATAGGGTTTCTCTCCAGCAAGATTGTACAGTAAAAGAGTTCCAACAAAAGGGCTTTGGCAGTCAATGTATAAATAGGATTTTTGTATAGTATTCGTTTTCTGGTACTCAGTAGGACCAGACTAGTGCATCTATATTTCAATTATAAATTCTCTTATGCTTAGTATTCCATAATTTGGAAATATATATATTATATAATTAGGAAAGTGCTTATAAATTAAAATAGGATATGTTGTGCTTTTTGCTCTTAAAATATTATGTGATAAAATATTCGTTACCTATAGCTCATTCTCCTTCCTTAAAAAAGTGGGACAATGGTGAGCCCAAGCAATCAAAATGAGAAGTATGTAACAGGGACGAGAATCATGTAGCATGCTTTGAACTGCAAGTGACAGGAAACATTGGTCAATCTGGCTGTTGATGGCCGGCCCGTGCCTCACTCGGGAGAGTGCGGTGCTGATAACACCAAGGCCCCGGGTTCGGATCCCATATAGGGATGGCCGGTTAGCTCATTGGGTGAGTGTGGTGCTGACAACACCAAGTCAAGGGTTAAGATCCCCTTACCGGTCATCTTTTAAAACAAACAAACAAACAAACAAAAAAACTGGCTGTTGAGAAAGTATTATTGCCAATAGCAGGAAGTCCAGGTGAGTATGTTGATGGCTCAGATTTGGTTTCTATGCATTCTTCCCCTTTACTTGTGTTGGCTTCCTCTTCGGGCTGGTAGCAAGATGCTTGTAGCTGATCCCCAAATCGTATCCAATCACAGCCAGCCAGAGAAGAAAAGAAAGTTCTTTTTTGTATCTTTTTTTCAGAAATAAGAGAACCTATCCAGGAAGCCTCCTTCAGGTTTTCCCTCATTTCAAAACTGGGACTTGTGCCATTTTCTAAACCAATCACTGATAAGTGCATCAGGTTATTGTGATTAGTCTAAACTAATCATTTGGAGTTGAATTGATATTAGGGGTTACTGGCCATCACCACTAAAGGATTCTTTTTTAAAAAAAAAAATACTTTGAAGTCATCTGGGAGTTGAACATTTTCAGCTGTCAGCCAGACATGGGCAGAGTGATAGAGCTAATGAGTAAGAAACGGACTTCCCTGAATGACCTGGGAACCCAGAAGTCATACTAAATGAGACCCATAAACTTGAAGCTTTTTCTTATAGATTGTTTATTTACCCAAGTATAAGGAATCTCCAGAATATCAAGTAGGATGCAGTAGCAACTGTGTTTCATTTGAGTGCATGTTTGTTAGCATTTTCTACTGCTTTTTAAAAACTATGCTGTAGTCTGAATGTTTGTCCCCTCCAAAGCTGATGCTGAAGCTTGATCCCCAATGTGGCAGTGATAAGAGGTGGGGTTTTTGGGAGCTGACTGGATTATGTCAAAGAACAAAAATATAACAAATTTAGTTGAAGATCTCAGTTGGTTTTATTGCGATTCTAGAACCAGGCAACACATTATTCCATAAGACAGAGTACGTGTTTCAATGAGCCAAGCAGGAGTTGATTTTATAGACAAAAAAAGGCTGAAGATGGCAGAAACAGAACAAAAGGCAGACTGGTCATCTCAAAGTTACTTTCCCTGTAAGGTAGGAACAGGAAGACAGAACAATAGAAAAATAACTGACTAGTTAACAGGAGGTTACTTTAGGCTATCTCTTTTGTGTAATTAAAGAATTAAAGCAGAGGGAACCTCATTATTATACCTATTGAAGATTAAACTGGCCTGTTTGGAAAATTGGTTGTTATCTCTTTCTCCTGACTTCTGGGAGGGTCAGACTATAACCTAAGTGACTGGAAACTTAGCAGGAGTGACTCCATTCTGATTTTTAGTCTGGTCTGCTGGATCCTAGTACAGGAACTTAGTCCACAATAATAGCCTCTGGACTACATCCTCATGAATGGATTAATCCATTCATAGATTAAGTGATTAATGGGTTAATGGATGAGGAGTTATCACTGGAGAGGCATGGGTGGCTTTATAAAGAGAGCAAGTGAGCCCAATACCACAATACTCTAGTCCTGTCACCATATGATACTCCCTGTTGCTTCAGAATTCTGCAGAGTTCCTACTGAGAAGGCCCTCAACAGATGTGCTCCCTTGACCTTGGACTGCTTAGACACCAAAGTAGTAAGAAATAAATTCCATATCTTTATAAATTACCCAGTTTCAGGTGTTCTGTTATAAGCAACAGAAAAGTGACTAATACACTCTACAATAAAGTTATTTTGACACTTTTACCTGTCTTGCTGTGAGTCTACATCAGGAAAAAGGAAAACCCAAGAGCTTTAGGGATCCCTTCCTTTTTGCCTCTGTGCATGTTACTGAACTCTGGTCTGGCTGCCTACCCACTTGAGAAGGAAAGAAAAAACCTCAGAAGTCAAATGGTTGGTGTTAGAAAAGCAGATGTATTCAGCTGAAGGAAATGGTAGGCTATCCCATCTCAAAGATTTAGATTTACTGAGAGATTTTTAAAGGAGGGGTTGAGGGAATGGAGTGGGAGGTGAAAAGCAAGAGAGAAGGTGACGTGAGCTACAAGGGGTCTGTGTCTGTGAGTCAGGTACAAGGTCTCCCCGAGGCCTCATTTGGTTTCTGTTCTCATCTTTGCTGCTGTCTCAGGACCCTGCAAGATTCTGATTTGTACCAGTATACTTGGCTGGTGGCCAAGATCAGCTTTAGTCGTTTGACCTTGATCATTTCTCAAAACTCTGCAAATCTCAAAGAAAGAACTGTTAGCTTTGCAAAGTACTAATTAGCTTCTCAGCCTTGTTTTCCTACTTAGTGAGCAAGATAAGAAAATCAGTGAATGGGAAGAAAGAGTGGAGAGAAAAAACTGTCGGTTTAAAAATCTTCCCTCCCTCTGCAGCCCAGGCAGTTTTAGGTCCCAACATGGCTTCAGTCCTGCTCACTCCAACATGCACACTTACATGCATATGTTAAATAAAAGTGATTACTTATGTCCTATGTTATACTTGCAACCCTTGCTTTTTTTATTGCTCTAAAATATGAAATAATGAAGATTGTGCATAGTTAGCATTAGATAACCAATTGCATACTATCTCTGGCTACCTCCGCTCCTGGGGGAGCAGCCCGGGACACAAAATGTGTGAGTGTGTGGGGGCGGGGCAGTGGGGGCTGGGGGAGGTTTCCCAGGGACACCAGCTGGCTGTCTCCCCTCCCCCTCTTCTTTGGGGTAGTCTCCAGCTCCCGGCTGAATACCATCCTGGGGGGTTTTCCTGGGATGCAGCCTCGAGTTGGGGCTGTTTGCTGCTGCTGCTAATGCTGCAGAAGGGAGAGGTGGAAAGATCCTGGGGGCAGTTCTTAATCTCAAATCTGATTTCTTAAAACTTTTTTTGTGTTACGTGCCCAAAATCTTGAAATGAAAAAAATTTATCGGCTCTGTCTTCAAAATACATCCCAAATTTATACCTTCACTTCCCTCCCCTCCCTTGCCCTTCCCACCAGCAGCACCCTAGTGTAGGACATACCTTCCATTTTTTTTCTTAAATTCACGTCCCAAGTCAAAAATAAACAAACCATTAAGATATCTTTTATCTGGGGGCTGGCCAGTTCAGCTGGTTACTGCATATTGTTAACACCAAGATCAAGGTCAAGGGGTTCAGATCCCCGGGCCGGACCGAAAGGATCATTTATTTGGGTTTCCTGGAATGACGACCTTTAACAAAAATATTTGCTCTCTTGATTTGCAAAGGAAAACATAATAGGAATATTCAGGTTTCCTTGACGTTTTCCAAATTTTGAATAACTCAAACATTATGAGTGCTCTTTCGTTACCAAACCTGGAGTAACATTAAAAAAAAACCTCACAAATCAAAATAAAAATTGGATTTTCTTAGGTATTATTTATTTATTTATTTATTTATTTATTTATTTATTTATTTATTTATTTATTTATTCTAAAAAGATGACCGGTAAGGGGATCTTAACCCTTGACTTGGTGTTGTCAGCACCACGCTCAGCCAGTGAGCGAACCGGCCATCCCTATGTGGGATCCGAACCCGGGGCCTTGGTGTTATCAGCACCGCACTCTCCCGAGTGAGCCACGGGCCGGCCCCAACTTAGGTATTATTTATAATAAATGATTGTGTACTTTTAAATTTAAAAAACCCTCTTGTTTATTATATAAATGGACACAATTACTGTTAACACATTGATTTATAAAAGAAAAACTTTATCAATTGTCACTTAGTGACATCCATACACACTTTATGGAATAAATTAAAGTCCCTGGGTATTTGTCAGTGCCTCCTTTTTTTTATTTTTTTATTTTTTTATCTTTTGTCTTTTTCCGTGTCCGGCAACGGATTGCAACCCTCAGTGTTGCCCTCGTACCGGACCGGGGACCGGCAACGGGATCACAACCCTCGGTGCTGCTCCCGCGCCTCGCTCAGCCAGTGAGCGGGAACCGGTCTGTATGCGGGATCCGAACCCTCGGGCGGGAGTGCCGCCGCGCCTCCCAAGCGGCGTACTATCCAGTGCGCCACCGGGCCGGCCCTTGTCAGTGCCTCCTTTAACTCTCATGACAAGTCTACTTCCCTTTATTCAGGAAGGAGATTATTTGATCTATATCAGGAAATATTATTAGGAAATAGATATTTTGGAAACTCCTTTGTTTAAAATTATTTAATGTTAAAAAAAGATTATTTAATGTTGCTTGTTAATTGTTCATGCTTAAAAAATATAAACTAGAATTTTTCAAGTATTCTATGCCATGACAGATCTAAATTCGTCTAAATTAGAATATGACCTTCTCTGAGAAATTAAATGGACTCAAATGGTTGAATTGTTCTTTTTCACTACAGTCTGCCAGCCAACAAGAGATTTAAAAACCCAATATTTATATAGGCAGTAGGTATGCAATTCTGTTGGTCTATTTTAGACAACTTTGGAAATAGATTTTCTTTTTTTTTTTTTTTTGTCTTTTTCTGTGTCCGGCAACGGATTGCAACCCTCAGTGTCGCCCCCGTACCGGACCGGGACCGGCAACGGGATCGCAACCCTCGGCGTTGCCCCCGCGCCTCACTCAGCCAGTGAGCTGGAACCGGTCCATATGTGGGATCCGAACCCTCGGCGGGAGCGCAACCGTGCTTCCCAAGCGGCGCACTAGCGCAGTGCGCCACCGGGCCGGCCCCTGGAAATAGATTTTCTGACATCTTCCAAAAGTCTCATTAAAGGGCCGGCCCGGTGGCGCACTGGAGAGTGCTCCACTTGGGAGTGTGGCGGCGCTCCCGCCGAGGGTTCGGATCCCATGTGGAGACCGGTTCACGCTCACTGGCTGAGCGTGGTGCGGGCGCAACACCGAGGGTTGCGATTCCGTTGCCGGTCAGTTAAAAAGACAAAAAGGAAAAAAAAAAAAAGGGCCGGCCCGTGGCTCACTAGGGAGAGTGTGGTGCTGATAACACCAAGGCCCCATGTTTGGATCCCATATAGGGATGGCCGGTTTGCTCACTCAGTGAGCGTGGTGCTGACAACACCAAGTCAAGGGTTAAGATCCCCTTACCGGTCATCTTTAAAAAACAAAAAAAACAAAAGTCTCATTAAAAATAGCCAGAAATTAAAGAAATTTTAGAAGCTTTGCTCTTACCTAAGGGGCTAGACATGTAAAAAAGTGGAAACTCACCCAAAGTTCAATGACCCAGAATCCCAAAGAAGTAACTTAGTTTACCTCTATGCTAAACAGGTAGCATTAATGAAAGCAATTGCCCTAATGATAGTCTGTAAATACATCTGGCCACTGTTTGCTTGTTTCCAGAATGGATCGAGGCTATTTCTGATGAATAACCAAGGTTCTGATGATAAAATTGGTTGTTAAAAAAAATTCCTCATGGGCCAGCCCGTGGCTCACTCGGTAGAGTGCGGTGCTGATAACACCAAGGCCCCGGGTTCGGATCCCATATAGGGATGGCCGGTTCGCTCGCTGGCTGAGCGTGGTGCTGACAGCACCAAGTCAAGGGTTAAGATCCCCTTACCGGTCATCTTTAAAAAAAAAAAAAAAAAATTCCTCACTGTTCGAAATGAATATTCAGAAAAACTAGTAAAAAAAAGAACTCTAAAACTAAATTTGAGAATACTTTCCAAGCCTGGAGTTTCCATGGCCTGAGATGACAAGATCATCTCCTCCTGGGATTCACAGGCTACTCCATGCATTTAGGAATTCACTTCGGAACCTGTTTTACACCATGTTCCAAGCTCACATTTCTAAGTACTATTGCAAAGGATTCATTTGATGCATCTAGCTTTCTCATCAATAGGTATAAACAATCTTCCCAAAATATTCACCTAGGCCTCTGTAGGTTTAGAATCTGGAGACTGTCTTTTGGAAGAGACTAAATCAGAGGAGAAAAATTACCCTTGGCTTCAATGGAAGGGACTTCATTGTGAAACCATAAACAGAGGATTCTTAAGTATTGTCTAGAAACAAATAACCTTTGGAAGAAAATCAAACCAAGATCTCCACTGTGTTTACTAGAGGCGGGGAAAGGGGGAAGGAGAAGGGGAATAGTGTGAAATTGGTTAATGGACACAAAACAGCTAGTTAGGAAAAATAAGATCTGTTCTTGTACAGTCGAGCTTTGTATCTACTATTCATTTATTTATTCATATTTTTTTGAGCAGTTGGCCAGTATGAGGATCCAAATTGGCATCTACAGTAAACATATCTCTGCCCTATTTGTTTTTTTTGCTCTTTAGCGTCATGATTTGGTGCCCCCTAGAGGCCAACCAAATGTTTTTAAGATTGTTTTACAAATCTTCACAGTTTATCTTAGTCCTCTGTAAAATTTCTCTGCCACCTAAGGAAAGGCAAAACTCTCTTGTTTGTTTCTCTCAAACCACAGCTATTGTTTTAAATATAACAGATTAATGGATTTTTTTATCCTCCACCTGATTCGACTACCAAAGATTTAATAGCTCCTCGTTTTAACACTACAAAGGCAGATTTTCTTCTATGAGTCCCATCTGGAAATTGAAATTGAATTTTCCTCAAAGTACTAATCCTAATCTTCATTTCTATCAAAATTGGAGATTGGTCCCAAATAAGAAGATATTTCTGCTGACATTATTGCAACTATGTATTGAGTCTATCATTGCTGTATTAGTCTGTTATATTCAAAGACCCCCCCCCCCAGCCTCCACTCAAAGAATCTTTACATGTTGAGGGTCTGGACCCTCAACATGTGAAGTGTGCAATGCTAGGGAAGGACGTTTCATGTGGACATAAAGTTTTCACCCTATCATTACACAAACCTGTGCTGTGCAATATGGAGTAACTTTTAGAATTTTTATTAATAAATACAGTGTTAATTATTAATATTCACTTTTAAAATATTTTCTAATATTTATTTATTTATTTTTACGTGATTGTCTTTATTAACAGCTCTCAGGAGACAGCTTCAGGCACATGGCCCAGGAGGGAATCACCTCATTTTCTAATATTTTAAACGTCTGCTCCTACAGCAAACTATGTTTCTCTGGGAAAGATACTCAGAGACCTAAAACAAGGCAGGCATGGTCTCTTCAAGAGAGCTCCCAGGAGAGAAAACTGACTCCTTCCTCATCTATACTCTGGGAACACCAATTCCAAGACAGGAAAAATACAACTAGAAAAGGTTGTCCAGAATTTGTTTCTGGCCCTAGCAAAAGTCATAAATGACACTACCTGGATCCAAACTCTACATATTCATGTCCTGAGGGCTGACTTTTTCTGCCTTTGGTTGAAAAGTAAAGATGAAAAGTTAAAGCACCTAGGAGCTTGCAGTTGGAAGCTGACAGGTAAACTCTAATCTTTCCTACTAAACATAAACATCTCTTGCAAAATACTTTAACCAGTCAAGACCACTCAGTGACTGGGATGGAGCAAGATGTAGAATGGCCACTCTGTCACTGTGTTGGAAAGCACATAGAGACAAGGACACTCTGAAATCCAGACCACATTAATCTCCCTACTTCGTAGGTAAAAATTACTAAAATAATCACCAAATTACCCTTTATAAAAAACTGGCCTCTGCTTCTTTAAACACTGCTTAGAACCACCCAGCCAATCCTATCATAGGCTTTCCACAATTTTCTCCAATGAGGCTCCACTTTCTTATGTGGTTTACTCTTCCTTGATGCAGCATACTGTATAAACCCAGCTGTGTTGGACTGCATGGGTGTCATCACTGGTTGGCTGCAGGTAGCTGTCTAAATTTAGGGAGCCCTTTCTGGAGCCTTCCTGCTCCAGCACCTAACATTTCTCAACCCTGTCTTGGTTCATGCCCAGTAGATCTGCTCCAAAATTCTTAGAAATTAAAGTGAAGAAAACGTTGTATACCTGGCATCAGAAAGGCAAGAACTTAATCTGTTCATCCACTTTGGCATGATGGGATTAAGCTCAGAGTATTCAACTACTTGAATGGATTTCCTTGGAGAAGCTTAGAGATTGGATATCCTCCCTAGGGTGGTTCCTGTGGTGGGTCTTTAAGTGCCTATATACAACACAGGGCCTGGGCCCTTTTCACTTTTTCCAAGTCATTTCAACTTGTTGCTTGGACTTGCCACTATTCTGATTCAAGAAGGAGCAGTGCACGGCATGGGAACAAGCACTCCCAGAAGGATGCCATGGTGGACCGTGCCTGAAAACTTTTCTGCCCCAATGGTAGTGCTCATTGAAGAGGACCAGGAGGAGCACATCTTTGGTAAGTGGCCTTTGCCCACACCCTGTCCCCCTATCCTTCTCTTACTGGTCTCCACTCTTCCTCTACCCTCCCAACCCATCTGTCCCAGGTCCCTACCCCCAAGGCCATCTCCCCACCCCACAAAGGCTGGTGGTTTACACATCCCTCCTGCTCTCGTGCTCACAGGCCCAGCTGACAAGTACCTTCGCTGCATTGAGGAGCACAGCCACACCCTCATTCAGCTGGAGGGGTGGTTCACAGCCACAGGCCAGACTCGAGTCACTGTGGTCGGACCACCTAGGGCAAGGCAGTGGCTGCTGGACATGATCTGGAGCATGGGGAGCCAGGACTCCTACCGTCAGCTCCGAGGTAGGTGTCCTTGGCTGAACTGTGGTTGAGGAGGGCTTGATGGCAGAGACCTGGCAGAGTTACTTGCCATCTTGGATTTCTGAAGAATTGCTTGGGTGGCTGGGAATCCAGGTGCTTTGCTGAGTCTGTTGGGAAGGGAGGGGGCCGGTGCCACAGCCATTGTTGGTGGCATGCAGTTGCTCTGGGAGGAGAAGGTAGTAGGGAGGTGTGAATGGGTCACCTGGGAAGGCCTGGGCTGGGGGGACATTATTCCCTTTAGTTTCCCTCTGGGGGTCCTGGCCTGCCCTGGTGTTCCAGTCTGGGGTCCAGCTTCACCAGCCCAGGCCACTCCCTCCACAGGCCTTGAGATGTTGCAGCGAGTCCGGAGAAAGCCCCTCACCAAGGAAGACCTGGCCGCCTCTAGCAACGTGCAGCCCGACACTGGGGACCTATCTTTGGCCTCCAGAATGGGTGGGACCATCTCTCTTGGTGTTCCTCAGGCTCTTCCATCCCCATTGGTTGGCTGTTTCTGATTACATTTGAGTTCACACTATCCATGATGAAAGACTGATCTCCCTTGGGAAGTTGAGATGTGAGATGTCCTGGCTTAGCCCTTGATGAGAAAAACATGAAGAACACTGATGGACGTTTGAATTTGTGGTCCCAGTCCTCTGTCCCTCTCAGGCCTTCTAGGCATGTGTGTGAGGGAAGTCTCCTAAGTGTAAGAAAGTGTTCTACCGGCAAAGATGCTCAATAAACTAAGCCTCCTATTATGCAAGCAATTGATGTGCTGTCCTCTTTCCTTTGGATGAACTTATTCAACCAGAAGGGGCTTCTTTGGGCAAGCCTGGTGCTGAGGTCTGGGTGGCCAGTGCCGTCTCCAGGGAGCCCCAGCCCAGTGAAGGAACCAGAATCAGCTCTTTCTCAAACTGCTTCTCTCAGACCAGAAGCCTGGTCATGCTGCACTGAATTGAGTGAAAACAGGGGCTTCTGAACAGTAGGGACCCTCGTTGCAGCCCCAGGACCCTCCTGGACTTTCAAATGCAGACACACACACACAGAGAAAGAAAAGGTGGGAGGAGGGTCCCGATGGACATGTGAGGTGGTCCCATCCAGTACGGTGGTGAAGAAGGCAGCCAAGCCCCCTGGTAAGCATGAGGTAGTCATGCATTTTCCCTGATTGCCAGAAATTTTGGGGTGAGATTGGAGGGGCTGGTTTTCTGGTAGCAAAGGAGTCTGAGGTTCCTGAAGCCATGAAGCTAGTAAGGCTCTCCTAAGTATTCATTCCATAGCATTTCTCCTGAATGCCACATCTACATTTGAATCTCTCTTCCTGAGATTATGGCAAGGTAAACGTGTCCTCACTTGAACTCTTCCTCTTCAAACCTGCTTCTCCACCATCTGGATCTTCTGATGAGCTTATTATAGTCTTCTGGGAAAGAGACAGTTGTGTCTTAGACCAGAATGAGTGGTAGATATGTTAGGAATTGATTGCATTTGGAATATACTTTGAAGACAACAAGATTTGCTAATTATGTGGTTTTTACACAGCCAGTTTGTAAAGGGAAGTTAGAAAGATTGTATTCACGATGGAAAAACGCTCCGGAATCTGGCTGGAAGAAGAAAACAACCAAACCACACTATTTCCAGAGAAAATATCATGTCAGCTTCCTAAATGATAATTTAAAGATTGATGGTTTATAAAATAGAGGTAAAACTTATTTTGTTAAAGATGTGCAAAAAGAGTGTTTTTGTCCTCAATTAAGTTTCACGCGGAATTAACAAATTAACATTCTGTCTTCTTGTGGCTGTAATTCTGATCTTTAAATCCAAGTCATCAAAGGTTCCTGTGAGCACAGTCTAGATATCATAATGTAGGAGTTAATATCTCCAACACTGGAGTGAGATTACATGCATTGAGATCCTGGCTCTACCACTAAATAGCTTTATAATCTTTGGCACATTACTGATTTCTCAGTGCATTGGTTTTCTCATCTAGAAAGTGGAGATAATAATAACAACCTCAGGTGGACTTAAAAAAATTTCTTTTTTGTACATTCTTTTACTTTCTTTCTTCTAACAGAACTGTAGTTTTGTAAAGGTCTACCATACCTCCCTAGCTTTACAGGGGGAATGCTGATTGCTTAAGCTAATCAGGGCATACACATTGTGGCTGTTACTGGTCCAGGATGCGCCTGTGACCTGTATCAGTCTAATCAGGTGTCAGGAAATAACTTATATTCAACAGTTGGGTGGAGGGCTCCCTGCCCCCTCCCTTCTCCCGTTAGATGTGATGAAAGAGGTGAGTGGCACCCGTTTCCCCTGGCAGCCATCATGTGGACAATAAGGAACCACCGATTGTATATTGCTGATAAGGAGGACAGCAGAGACAGGAAGAACCTGGAACCGTGATGATGTAACTGAGCAAACTGCACTCTGCCTGGAGTCGGCCGTACCTCTGGACTTCCAGTTGTGTTGGATAAGAATGTTTTTACATTTAAAGCTGCTTCAGCAAGAGTTTTCTTACACCTGCGGTCAAATGCATCAGAACTGATATGTTACCTGTGGTGACGTGGTGAGGATTACATGATATCATACTGGAAGCACTGATTGGCTTCCAGTGATGATATCATGGAAATAAAATAAAATAAAATGCAAATAAAATGCAATACTGGGCAGTCACTAAGCCTCGGTTGTTATTTGGAAGCCTGGGATCCAAATACTGAAGGCTGTGCTCTGGCTATGGGGCTGGCATTGGAAGGAAACAGAATAAAAAGAAGGGAGGAGCTGGAATATAGTGTTACAAGGCTCAGGGACAGGAAATGGAGAATAGTCCTTTTTTCTTTGGCGTCTACAGTGAAGTTTGAGAGAAGTCAGTCTTCCTGATAAACGGACAAAGTCTAGGAATGGGTGCCATTTATGGAGCTGAACCAATTATTTTGGGGAGTGGAGGAGGAATAGAGCCGGGTATGCTGAGGCCCGGTGGATGAGAGTGGGGCTACTTAGGGAGGTGCTCCTCCCAGTCTCGGAGAAACTTGAATACTGGTAATTTGGCATGATTTAATTTCTTCCCAGGCCCCTTTGGGGCCATTCGCCAATTTTGTGGTGCTGTGATTTCCAGGACAGTGCATAAATCTATAGTTTGCACATAGTGTATCTGATACATTTCTGCTTTGAAATGTATTAAAAATCTCAATAATTTGGAATTAAGTAGGCTAGAGGGAGAAGTCTTATTGCAGTTAATGAAAATTTAAATTTTTTCAAAAAAACAATTTTTACTTGTATCACATTTTTTTTTTTTTTTTAAAAGATGACCGGTAAGGGGATCTCAACCCTTGGCCTGGTGTTGTCAGCACCACGCTCAGCCAGTGAGCAAACCGGCCATCCCTATATAGGATCCGAACCCGCATATAGGATCCGAACCCGCGGCTTTGGTGTTATCAGCACCGCACTCTACCGAGTGAGCCACGGGCCGGTCCTCACATTTTTTTTTTTTTTTTTTTTGTGGCTGGCTGGTATGGGGATCCAAACCCTTTGACCTTGGTGTTATTTAACACTGTGCTCTAACCATCTTTAGCCAACCAGCCAGGCTTGTATTAGATTTCTGAAGCAGTTGAAACCAGGCTAATAAAGGTTACAACTTCAAGATGTAGGAACCTATTTTTATCAATGGCTAGGGTAGAATAATTGTTGGAAGTATATTTTGCTTTTAAATGGTGGGGGTGGAAGGTACTGCTAGAGTAGTTCCAAAAATGTCTGGAAGTGATTTTCATTTTTAAGTTGGTCAAACAAGCATGTTCCAGGTGCAATTTTATTTTCATTCATCTAGAAGTTGATAGAATAGGTACATACTTGTTTGATCTCTTTAGAGCCATGGTGGGAAGCCCCCTCCTCCCTCCAGGATTACACTCCCTCTTCTTCCCCTGTCTAAAACACCTCTGTTAGGGCTTTGTTGCCTTGTATTCCATAGTTTTAACATTCTGAGCCTCCTTGAAAATAATTCCACTGGAGTTAATCCTGGGCACTTAGCACAAAATTGCTAGTGGAGTAGAAGAAATGGGACATTTTAGGGAAGATTAGAGAAAGGTCCCTTTTGGAGCAGAAGCCCTCCCCTGGTAAGGCAGAGCTGGGTAGGTGCTAGAAATAGTCATTCTAAGTAGCCAGAGTCTGCAATATCTGGGCACTCACCTGGTCTCCATTTCTTATTGCTTGTTTACCCCTTTTATTATACTTACAGCTCACATGGGCTGGTATCTGAGTTATGTTCACTATCGAATTAATTTTTCTTTCTTTCTTTTTTTTTTAAGATGACTGGTAAGGGGATCTTAACCCTTGACTTGGTGTTGTCAGCACCATGCTCACCCAAGTGAGCTAACCGGCCATTCCTATATAGGGATCCGAACCCGTGGCCTTGGTGTTATCAGTACCATGCTCTCCCTAGTGAGCCACGGGCTGGCCCTCAAATTAATTTTTCTTATGATATCCTCAAGAACATATGCAAATCTCCCCCCTTCCGAAATGATCAAAGATTTTTCAGCAACATTGCAAAAAGATAATTTGAGTTGGACTAGTCAGTTCAGAACCAACCAGTCAGTTCCAGATAAAAATAGTCACACTAGCTGTTTATAGACATCTTTTTAATGTTTTACTTCAAAACAAGTAATCTCAGTAAAAGAGAGCAAAGGAAATTACATTTTAATGGTAGCTTGAAATGGATATGATATTCCTGATTTATTTGTTTTCAGGAAACAGACAATTGCATTGTCATACATGACTTTTAGAACTACTCACTCAAATGCACATAATCATATTAAATTAAGTTTCTCTTACAAAAACACAACCATGTCATTTAAGGCAAAAAATATTGGCTTCTGGGGAATTAATATTTATATTTCTTCAATCTGATTGAATGAAGTGATCCATTAATTTAGTTGCCTAGGTTTCATCATTCCTTACAGTTTTGCTTTGCAAATGGGCATGAGAATTAGTCACTTTGTGCCCAATTTCCTCCTCTCTATGAAACTTTTTTTCACTTTCAGATTAAGAACTTTCAGAATCACTGAGTCAATGGGAGGCAAGAAAGGCACCTTAGAACGGGAGAGAAGGACTTAAAACTCAGTAAAGTGTCTTACTTTAAACAAAACTTGCAATCTACAGATATTAATTTAGTTGAATAAAATGCAAACATTTAGATCAGACATAGCAAAATAACCTCATACCAGGGATATTTGCAATTAGGTATTAGCTTGATCAACCATACGTGTTGAAGAAGGCGACAGACTTGAACTGACAGAGCATGTGGTTACTCAGTGCTCAGCTCAGTTGTGCTTCAAGACACCATTTGGGATTGACCAATGGGACTTTGCTAAGTGTAAATGGGAGACCCCTCTCATTTCCACAGAAAGTAACACAACAGACAGAATCTACAGTGTTCACACAACTATCTTTTAACATCCAAGAATTTTTGTGCTAGAGTAAGAGACACAAAATGGTCATGGCTTCGATGTATAAAAGTTTTTCACAACATGATTTATCACATTTTGCTATGATTAAGACCTCAGTGATATGTTTCTGAATCTTCAGTGTTCAGCAATGCTGGGTGAACTGTACTGTGTTTGAGGCCTAACAAGCGGTCCCCAATACATTCAGAATTCCTGCTGCCAGTGGGGTTCGACCCAGGACAGAGTATGTCCAAGAATCAGTGCTACCTGAAAGTTGTTGCCTCCTCATCATCCTCTGCTAATATTTGTAGAGAGCCCGCCAAGTGCATGGCAGGTGTTTGGCTTTAGATCAGCGGAGGGGTGTGTGTGTATGTTTATGTGTACAACATCCTTGGGAGGGTATATCACAACTTCAGGTTGAGTGAAGACAGGGGTAGATGAAAAATTGCATTTAATAATTTACTAACATTCTATAATTGGAAAATGAAAATAATTGCTTTAAAAGCTTGATACATCTTTTAAACTGGAGTGTAAAATTTAGACTCTATCTTCTGTGTGTCTCTAGCAGCCAAGAAGATTCTGAATGATACACTCCAGAGGAGTATGTTAGAATCCAAGCGGGATGAGAAGAGAAAGCTTTCATAATATTAGTGTTTATCAAAAAGGGCAAGGATTTTATTGATTTTTATTTTTAAAAATTTTTTTTTGGTGGCTGACCAGTTTGAGGCTCCAAACCCTTAACCTTGCTGTACCAACGCTGAGCTCTAACCAACTGAGCTAAGCAGCCAGCCCTAGGGGCAAGGATTTCAAAAGATCAAGAAGCACATTTTAGGTAGAGAATTGGGGATGGAGGTTGGCTAAGGCCTGGTTGAGTTCATGAGCAAATAGTGGCAGGGAATCAAGATGGAGTTAATGAAGAAGGAAAGAAGGTAAGAGTCAGTGATGGAGAAAGCCTGTTGGGGGAGAGAGTTGTGAAAGATTGGTGGATTTCAGGACTTCCTCCTTCCTCTGAACACAAGTTGATATCCCTGCTCATTCTCCCTGGCTGCTGGAAAAGTTTTTCTGGAGGGAGCACTTAATGTCTGCCAAGAAAAATACTCTTCCTTTCTTGAGTCCTTTTGTGGCTAGGGTTTAACTGAATTGAAATGCTGTCTGGTCTCCTTGCCTTTTGAATGCCATTACTTCGGCTGAAGTTTGGACAGTCTGAAATAGCTAGACTGGTTTCTAACAAGCAGTCAGCATTGCTTGCTTTCTGCTGAATACATTTTTTATTTTGTTTCCCTTGGCCTTTTTGTTGCCACGATATATTATAAAGTGTTTTGATTTGTACACCCTGGCAGTGCTATCTGGCTTCTAATTGTAAATGTTTATACCAGGGAACTGAACCAGTAATTTCAGATTTGGGACAACATTCTTGGGAAGAATAGAAAATGTTCACTACAGTATAAAAAGTAAAGGTAGTATAGTTTTAGCCTTTCATATGCAAAATGTACTATGTAACAGCAAAAGACATTTAGGGCACACTAAAAAATAAATAACTTGTAAAATTCTCTGTTTATATATAAGAATAAGGGATGTTTAGGTAGTGAATTCCCTAGTACTACTCATTTTCTAAAAAATCTAGTTCTTTTATTTTGGTTTCTCTCCCTCTCATTGCCCTTTGAGTGGGGGAGTCATTTTCTTTAACTTTGCCTACTTCCTGGTATTTCTGGATTCTTTTCAAGTCTTTCCTCTGTCAGTCCCACTCAAATGGCCCATTCCCCTGGGTCCTACCTCTATGTCTGCTAAATGAGAACAGCGTCTCACCCTTGCCCTTTACCTGGGCAGTATTGGCAAGCCTGGGGTTGGTGCCATTGCAGAGACCCGCCCAATCACACTGGCTATTCTACCGATCCTTGTTTCATATGCTTGTGTAGAAGTCGCCCACTTATAAAGTTGATTCTGCCATCAGGGAATATGTTTCCATAAAGTCAAATATGTTAAACAGTCAGTCCATGCCCCACTGGCTTGAATTTCATTATTTGTACATTTTCTAATTGAAGAACATTCTTGTCATATAGAACAACATGAAAATGATGTGCAAAATTGCTTGCCACAGCGCTAAATCACCAAAAGCACACAAATTGACATTCAAATTACATTAATAATAAAATGACTGAATAGGAATGGGTTGGCAAATATATCTTGAAATAAGCAGCCATTTCTATTATTCCCAAATTCTGCTGTACTTGATACCTTGTTAGCAGCTGTTGCTAGCCATTGTGTTTAAATATACATTATGGCATTATTTTGAAAAATGTATTTTGTATTTAATCACAAAGCAGAAATGCCTGAAATTTGAAGGTGTTTACTCCCATAATTTCAAAATACAGCATCAAATCATTCTACATGACCTAATCTTGACATTTTCATACATAGCATTAGCAGTGTTTGGTTTCTCAGGATTTTTCACTCAAGGTACATTACTAAACGAGTGGGTTAATGTTGATGCACCTTGGAATTTCAGCCATCCCTAAACATGCATTTTCATGCAATTAAAAGATAACGGGCTTATAAATGGCCTTTCATGTTCTTCCTGATTCTTGCAATTTCAACTTTTTAGAGGGGCTTTCGAAGTAGTTCATGCAATGATATGTATGGCTAAAGGAACTGCTATGCCTAGAAAGAAAACGAAGAACTTATTTCAGTTTGACATGAGGCAAGCTGAGGGCATCTGTACTTTCTCCTGCTTTACAAATGCTCTGAGATGATCGTGATCTTCCAGTCCTTAGAGAGTCTGACGCAAAAGCAGCTTCCCTGGCAGGCTGCGGAGCGGCATCAAAAGTGTCTGTCTCTGTCTCTTCGGGACCCACCTCTTCATCAGTTATAAACAATTTGGATTCCCTCCATTTGGGGTAAAAATCTTGGCTGCCTCTGGAGCCACTTGACTCACTCCCTGAAAGCTGTATATTCAATTCCTCTGTCGACCTGATCAGGTTTTGTACAGACAAAGATTTGCCCAAGTCCTTCGGCACCATGGGGCGGACGGACAACAGAGTTTCTCCTCCCATGTCAAAGCTTTTCCTCAGAGAACGGTCCTTGGTCAGATTTGACTGTGCAACCTGAACATTTTCCTTGGAGGCAACAAGGCAGGTGGTGACGTCAGAAGCGCTTTCCTGTAAGCCTGCGGGGTTTGGGTGCAGGGTGTCTGGCCTGGGCAGATGCTTGATGGCTGGGAGAGGAGGTGGGATCTGTAAAGTTGTTGGGGCTGCTGGCTTGGGTGCCGCGTTTATTTGGTTTGCAATGTTGTTGGTGGCCGCCACTGCGGAGCCGTCACTTTGACTCATTGGCACCTGTGTTGCTTGACTGTGCATAGAAGGGCTGAGCGTGTAGAAAGTCTGAGCGCTGAACTCATTTGGCGTCAGAATGAACTGCAGGCCTCGCGAGATGTTGGCACTGGCTGATCGGGATAAGCAGCCGCTGTTTTGTGCGGAACTGGACAGGTCTTTGCTATCCACAGGGCTTTGATAGTCAGATGTCTGTTCACATTCAAAAGGTGGGATCTGGAATGAAGCCAAAGTGAGGGCTGAGGCGGAGCCCTTCCGGAGGACTTGTTGATAGATGTCCAGGAGGCAGTCCAGCTTGGACTCAATGGACTGGACCTACAAGTGGGGAAAATGGTTACACTTGAGCATAACCTGTTATTAAGAATGGACTTCAATTCTAGAATTAAAAAATGAAAACAGGGTGTGTCAATATAGTTAAATAAATATTGAGTACAAATTACGATGCAGTCTGGACTCTTGGTGAATGTGGCATGTAGCACTGCTGAGGCCAGAGGAGGATTTAGGATGAGATGGATGCTTTGGCTTCTACGTTTTCTCCACCAGCATCCCTCCCTCCTCCTTCTTTACTTTTTTTTTTTTTGGCTGGCCAGTGCAGGGGTCCAAACCTGTGGCCTTGGTGTTATAAGGCTCTGTTCTAATCAACTGAACTAACTGACTAGCCCCCTCCTATTTCTTAAAATGGACAATTGATGTTATCAGAAATCATATAAACACTATAAAAATGCAACTTCAAGACTCCCTATCCCAATCAGATTGCCTTTCTATGAAGACATTCTGGAACTGTACTGCAGTCTAGTAAGAAACTTACTCTATACTGAAATCAAGACCTTAACTATCAATCTTGGTGATTCTGAATTTAAAAATGACAGTACAGGGGCTGGCCGGTTAGCTCACTTGGGAGACCGTGGTACTGGTAACACCAAGGTCAAGGGTTCAGATCCCTGTATTGGCCAGCCACCAAAAAAAAAAAAAAAAAAAAAAAAAAAAAAAAAAAAACCAAAAAAAAAAATTAAAAAAAAAAAAAAAAAAAAAAAAAAAAAATGACAGTACAAAAAGCTTCATAATTAATACTTGGAATATTTATGATTGGAATGGGGGAGCAATTTGATTTCTGGAAAATTATCTTTATATGTGAAGATACAGCTTCAGGGTTAATAAACATTCAATATATCATCATAATTATAATGAGGTTTTATTTTATTCTTTTTTTTCTAGAGAGAAGATTTTTAGTTTTTTAAATTTTTTAATTTTTAAAAAATTTTAACTTCTCAATATACATTGTAGTTGATTTTTGTGACCCTTTACCTGTTCCTCTTCCCCCCCGCCCCCCTATGCCATATCTGTTCACTTGTCATAAGTTCAAGGAATTGTTGTGATTGTTGTGTCTTTTTCCCTCCCCACCCTTTATTTGTTTGTGTATTTACTTATTTATTTTTAGCTCCCACAAATGAGTGAGAACATGTGGTATTTCTCTTTCTGTGCCTGACTTCTTTCACTTAATATAATTTTCTCTAAGCCCATCCATGTTGTTGTGAATGGTAGTATTTCATTCTTTTTTATAATGAGGTTTTATTTTTAAAAAGAGTGACCTAAAGAGAGACAATGAAAATAACCAAAACAAGGGAAAAATAGATCTTTGTTATTTTATTATTGAAAATCTATAGTTGCTTCCAGTTCAAGTGTTAACTGATCAGATGAAATTTTCTATTTCTTGTATGGAACTCTAAAAGTGTTTTACAGAACACTGTCTATACACAATAAAATTTAATTCCTCGATTTCATTACCTTTAACATATATTAATCATTAAAATACATTTGATTGCCTATAATCAATTTTGAGTAAAAAAATTCTGATTAAAAATTTAATCAGTGTAATTGAGTTGTACCTGTTTTTCAACCTTGACCACTCGGCCGAGCATACTGAGGTCATCTGTGGTCTCATGTTCTGCTGTTATTTTTTCTCGGCTCTTCTTATCTGATGTGATTTGTCCTTTTCCAAGAATTTGATCAACTCTATCAGAGAAAGAGGATATCTGATTATGATTGCTAAAGATAGAGATTGACCCAGGCCAGAATGAAGTGTTTTGAAAAGAAAAATTAAATACAGTTATCTTTATGTAAAGTGAAATGAGGATGAACTTGTTCCAATTGATGTGCTTATTTTCTTAACATGAGATTACACATAAGATTAATTTTCTCATTATTCTAGTCCATGATGAAATCACTTGTGGATGATCTTCTGGAGGTGAAACTATTCTAAACAAAGGAATTTACCTATTTCTACTTCTTTTTTTTTTTAAAAAAAAGATGACCGGTAAGGGGATCTCAACCCTTGGCTTGGTGTTGTCAGCACCACGCTCAGCCAGTGAGCAAACCGGCCATCCCTATATGGGATCCGAACCCGTGGCCTTGGTGTTATCAGCACTGCACTCTACTGAGTGAGCCACAGGCCGGCCCTACCTATTTCTACTTCTGTCCAGGCTGTTCCTAGATTCAACCACTTCGGAATTTGACATAATCATAATTATGATTATTTTGCATTGATAGATTATTCAATGAACACTTATTGTACATCTGATACGTGGAAGATAAACAAATAAGATGGCTATAATCTTTTCTGGAATGAGTTGGAGAATATACATAAGCTGGAAACTCAAGATTAGTTCTACAGATTCTGTAGCAGTTTTTATGCTACAGAATACAGTTTTATTTTATGAAAATCTTGGGAACCACAGATAGTTCTATTAAAGGACTTGGAAGAGTGCAGCCACGTAGGCAGAGATTGTTACATGACCATGAGATGTACTAAAGCAATTTCCAAGGAGACTTGATCAGCCTAAATAAGAATCATTCCCTTCTTTTTGTGGGTTTTTTAGAATTGAATTATCAGGGATATCGACACAACTTTCCAGTTTATTTTGTCTGCATAGAAACGTAGGCAGTCCCTACTTTCTACCATGACATCTAATCTATTTCACTGCAAGCTGTACAAGGACTGGGTAGAGCTTATTTTATTTATTATTTTATTTTAAAGAATTATTTTATTAATCTCTGGATGTCTGCAGTGCCTGGCACATATAATAGGCTCAATAATTATCTGCAGAATGAATGAACAAATTGTGATTTCTATAATTGATCAACACGTGTCTTACTAAGGTCCTAGTACATGCCTCACTATGGGCTAAGCGGGCCGTGTGAATGTCAAAAAAAGTTTAAGACTCAGTCTTTGCATTTTAAGAGCTATTCAATCACGAATGCTGGTAATTTGTGGCTGATAATGAAGCAAGACTCTTAAAAAACTGAATTGACTATATATTTTAGTTTCGAGATAACACAATCAACCATATGTGGTTGGAATTAACATATTGAACTCGTTTTTTAAAATCACTCAGTAAGATGCTCACTGGAAAGATAGTATATATTTAATACAATATAGGACAGGGATGAAGGGAAGGGCCCAGGCTTAGCTGACAGTAAGGGGAGCACACTTGCAATCAGTAAACAACACAAGGGCCAAGTGTTGACTTTGTGGCCCAGCACACCAAGATTATGAGCTCTGATGCTCTGTAATTGACTCTGAATGCCGTAGGAGGTCAGAGAGGAGAGAGATCTGTCTTTGAGGGCTGGTTAGTCGGGTAAAATTTATTTTTATTTTTTATTTTTTAATTTTTAAAAGATGACCGGTAAGGGGATCTTAACCCTTGGTGTTGCCAGCACCACTCTCTCCCAAGTGAGCTAACCGGCCATCCCTATATAGGATCCGAACCTGCAGCCTTGATGTTACCAGCACCACACTCTCCCGAGTGAGCCACGGGCTGGCCCTTAGTCGGGTAAAATTTAATGGAGAAAGACTAGCTTATTTCTGAAGGATGGTTAGGACACAGATAACAACAAAAACAGTAGCTACAGCAGCAGCAGCAGCAACAGCAGCAATAATTTAGACATCAGCAGCACTCATTAACATTTATTGATCACTCAGTGCCAGACCTATTACATATTATGAGTTACATGGATTAACTCATTCAATCCTCATGACAATTTTAAGAGGCAAGCAGTAACATTCTCCCCATTTTTATAGATGAGGAAACAGACATTTGGAGGCTTTTACTGCCTGATTTACATCTATGTAAAAAGCAAAATAAAATCTATGTTAAAAACAAAAGTCCAGTTGCCCACTAAAAATGAATTACATATATGGAATTCAGAGGTTTTTTCTACTAAAGAGAAGTTTCTCCCAGATAATTTCTATGTCCATTCCTTTACAATGAATAACATTTTCATTGCTTACCGTGTTTGCAGGCTTTTAATTCTACACAACATGTCCAGATGACCAGCAGAATATTGTTCAATGACATCTTTTACATCGTATGGGCGTAATGTTTCCTTAAACTTCCGTTTTGCAACATGAAATTTCATAATTCTGTATGAGTAACATATTACATATTAATCTTCATAATTTTGCTTAGTTACCAAAATAGTTTATTAGTAAATATAATAAACTGTGGGGGGGAAAATTCATGCATCAAATTATTTTAGGCTCCTGCAGAATTGTGAAATAAAAGCCTGAGATTATGGAGGACAATTCAAGAATATCTCATGTGAGACACACCTCAAAGTAGAAAAACACACTAAAAAAAAGAGACTAAATGTTGTACCTTTTTAATATCCATTGAAACTCAGAATCAAAATCATAGTTAAAATGCAATTCTGCCTTTTGCATATGACCCCCAGAAGTCCAAGATATAACACCTAGTAATAACATTCTTAAATAATATAAAGGTTGTTGGTTAGAGTGCAGCTTTGCAACACCAAGGTCAAGTGTTCAGATCCCCATATTAGTCAGCCGCCAAATAAAAAAAAAAGATTTGTTAAAATGGTCTTTTATGGAACTACATGTAGTTTTGAGGTGCAAATGTGTTTGCAAACTCTAATTCTTTAGAGAAATGTACACTAGTATGGGAATTTATGAATTTTTGTAAGTTATTTCTGCAGAATACTGCTGAATTAGCTAGTCAACTTCCTTTTGTTAGGAACGTAACAACTTATCAACTAAGCTCGGGTGCCTAAGCTTTCGGAATCAGAGATCTCTTATTACAGTGCCTCCCCCAACATGAATCCTGTGTTTTAAAACAATATTTCATCAATAAATTCCATGATGCCATCAACAGCTAATCTGCTTAAGATAATCAGTTACTTCAATAACTTGTTAGAATTCCTGATGAAAAAAGAAATATAACATTTTAATTATTACGTGCAGCCTGACTGTGGGTAAATGTTAAACCTGTTGGTGTTTTTCAACTATTAAATGGCTCATAGACTCCCATTAATATACTTATATATCCCAGGCTGGGAATCAGTAAACTAGGCTCTAAAAACCAAAATTTATCATCCCTTGGTGGAAAGTGGGAAAATTAGAAACAAATGTAGAGTTTAAAAAGAATATATTCATCACCTCTCTTAGTGACAACTGATTTCAATGAATCCAAATTGTTTTATAGGTTAGAAAGCCCAAATCCTATCTTGTAATTATATTATTAACTTTAGATTAATTATATCCTAATTATTCTTGAATCAGTCATCCATAATATTCTTATTTCCTCTCTCTACCAAATTTTCTTCACCAACTCTTCCTTATTCAGGATAGGTTTTGGTTTTTTCTCAAAGACATTTAAGCAAAATATTCAGCAGAAAGTAAAGAAAATCTGTGTTTTAATTTAACCTCTTAGTATTTGGCTTTGGTTCCAAATTGTTTATCAGCATTTTGATTTCATCAGAGCTCAGTCTCCTACATCAAAAAACAGAGAAAAATAGTGAAATACATAACCTGTGACATGTCTGGTCCAGAGTAATTATTATGTAAGTTTATGATTCCTCACACCAGACTGTCAATTAGGTAAAGGCAGACGGGTATCTTTATTCAATCATCAGTGCTTCATAAAAGTGACCTATTGTTAATGTCACTGCTTGTGCTGTGACTGTTATTAGTGCTGTTCTTTAACATTTTGTGCTCAGAGCCTAGCACAGTTCCTGACACATAGTAAAAAGAAATATTTGTTGAATAAGAGGAGAAAGGAAAGAAAAAGATAAAGAAAGATCTTCTAATTTGGGTGATATAAAGAATATAAAGAATATAAGAGCAGGAGAAGAGATAATCTAACAGTCCAGAACACTTCTCTGCTATTTTCAAAGTGGCTAATGGTGCCTGAGTGGGCAGGAAAAAAGGAAAATCATCTTCTTACATCCCTAGGTGGTTTTATGTTCATTGTTATGGTTTCTGTTTTCAATAACATCAGTCTACCACTTGTTACTTGAAGTGCTTTATATGTCTTATCTTCAACAGCACTTGATAAAATATTCTTTAAAAAAAAATTTTTTTTTAGTGTGGTATGTTTCTGGCAACCGAGGCTGAAAAAGAAATAAACATTTTCTTTTAAACCTTATGAAATTTATGTTTGTATTTTTGTAAAAAATTTTTTTTTTTAGTGTGGTATGTTTCTGGCAACTGAGGCTGAAAAAGAAATAAACATTTTCTTTTAAACCTTATGAAATTTATGTTTGTATTTTTGAAAATTTAATGAAGAGCTTTAGAGATTTTTTTCACAAGTACTTTCTAATAGTTTATTTCTTGTGATATTCTTTCAAAATACAATGTGGGACATGGAACATATTAACCTATACATAAATGATAAAGCTTCAAAATACATTTTGTATGCTTGCTTACTTTAAAAAAAAATTCGAAGTATTTTTAAATACTTTTTTTTGTTGATAAGATATTCTTTTTTCCCTTTTATATTTTAGGAAATTGAGGTTCAAAGAACTTCAGTGACTTGCCTTAAAGCAAACATCCGGTATGAGGCAAAGCCAGGATCCCACCCAGATCTGTCTGGCAGCTCCACATCAACTCCTGGTTTCCCATGGCATCAATTCTGGAGAATTGAGAGGGCTGACTGGGGCTTTTCTTTCTCATGGTGGTAGAAGAGGGTTAACTTCAGGATAAGCCAATGTGTTCTTATTGGCTGTAGCTCACGCACTTATGGCCTGTGGCATGTCTGCCAGGAGGTGGACCCACACACCTCCAAATGGAATTACCTTTTTTCCCCTAGTGGGGACCTGCCCTTATTTCTTGGTAGCATGAGTTCTCTGTGATAATTCATTTCAAAGCTGCATGCTGCTTTTCTCTTTTCCTTTCAGAGATGTTATAACAAGATGTACATTTTGAAGGCATTTGATAGGTAATATTGCAATCTAGCCCTCATGCAGTCATATTTTATGCAGACCTTAAATAATTTCATTTTTACTTATGTAATTTACTATTTATGAGCTAGCCAGATGAAATTAAAATTAAAATTCATGTTTTATAATTTTGATCAATATTAAAAAGGAAATGATTGATCTTTTATATTATTTCAGTATAGCCATATGATGATAGGTTTGCCAAGTAGAGTAGACTTAAAAATTCTTAATAGGCTTGACACTCATTTTTACACATTATACTACTTCTCATGTGGTATTGCTTTCCATCTAGTGCTTTACTAACAGATTTTTCCACTTTTGTGTACCAGAATTAAATAGTAAAAATTGGATGAATGAATATTTCAATTATTTGGAAAAGAGGAGTATATGCAGTGATCGGCTGGAGCAGACCATACTGACTCCCAAGAGTGGACTGTTAAATTTTTAGGAATTTTGCTTAATGTAAAACACAGCCATTATTAAAAATTAAATTATATAAACTTACAATCAAATAAATTACATCAAAACAGAAAAATATAAGGATACTTCAAAAAGTTCATGGAAAAATTCATATTATTTTTCAGTGCTATTTTTCCACCAACTCTTTGAAATACTCTTGTACATACTCAAAACTCACCATTTCCTAATTATTTTACTACGTTACTCTCTATTCTCTTGAATTATTCACATCTATTGTACCTGTATGTTGGAAATACTATCTAAGGTGTAATACTGTATATCTCTTCTCAACTCCTTGCTCAGTGATGTTGCATTGGTAGCTTGAAACCAGCTATTATTTTTACACCACAGAGATTGGCAAACACTACAAATCAGGGTTTTCCTCTCCTGGAGAGCTGGTTGTTAAGCATATGCCAGTGCATTACTGAGGGTATAAAATCATCTTATTTGTTAAGGATTAAGTTTTCTAAGATGGAAATCTAATAGATTTTCTTAACTGGCTGTGTTACGGGCCAAGAACAGAAACATTAAAGAGGTTTGAGGTGACATGAAAATTCTAAATCAAGTACTATGTTCTATAAATGTGGAGGGAATGTTTAAAGGCATAAATATTTTTGAAATCAATAATTTGTACAAAGAATTATGACTCTGTCCTTTTCCTCTTGCTAAGGGCAGACCAAGCATGTCCTAAAACTTGTAGTTCTCAGAGCTGTCCCCTCCTTTCCATCTGCACTGCTATAGCTTTAGAAAGAATAAAGCTTTCAAAATGCAAATAAGATCATATTACCCCCTTCCTAAAATCCTTCATTAGTTTTCCAGGGTCTATTGGGTAAACATCAAACTCTTTAGCACATCCTACAAGGCTGTTTAAGGACTGGCCTCTGTCTACCTCTCTTGCCTCATCACCTGCCATTCATCCTTGGGACTTTAGGTTCCAGCAAGAATAAAGTTTTTGCAGGTTCACGAAAACACTATTAATCAATTACATGCTTCAATTATTTGTCTATGGCATTTCCTCTTCCTGAAATCCTGCTATGTCTTCAAGACTCAGCTATAAAGTTGCTTCTTTTATGGAAATTTCTATGATTCCTCCAAAACAGTTTGTCACTTGTCTATGAACCTCTAGTTTAGTACCTAAAACACCACACGGTAATTATTTGCTTATATGCTAACCTCCTCCACCAGACTGGGTAAAGCCCTTGAATGCAGGGTTTATGTCTTCCACTCTTGGTATCCCGACACGTGGCACAGTGTTTAATGAACATTGTTGGTTTGTTTGTCTAGAAACTCTACTGAGGAGATTGGTGGGTAACTCAAGAGCGAAGGGGGTAATGGATGGGGGAGAACTTCTCTATCCAAATGCTCATCTCTGTTCATTCTTCCAGATGCTGTCCATTCTCCAGCTCTTCTAGATCTTTTGGTTACTAAAGTGCTCACTCCTCAGGATTCTATCTCTTTGCACTTTGCACTCTACCTAAAATGCTAACTGTTTCAGACTCAGCTCAAGCATTGACTTCTCTAGGAAATCTTTCCTGACCCCCCCCCCCGCCCCCCGGGGATAGATGGTCTTTCTCTATGCTTTCAAATATACTATCATGTAGCTAAATCTGTGGCAGCATATCTCACCCAGTGGAATTTATTGATGTCAAGGACTGTGTTTTTTATGCTAACATTCTACACAATCCCTGCCAAGTATTCGGGGTTCAATAATTGTTAGCTAAAGAAATG